CTCTTTGATGAGAACCATCTTGGTGGGTGTGCAGTGGTATTTCACTGTGCTTTTGATCTGCATTTCCCTTATGAGTCATAATACTGAATGTCTTTTCATGTGCTTATTGGCCATTCATACAGTTTCTTTGGAGAAGATATGAAAATACATCTAGTCATGTGTGTCTTCAAATATTTTGCCCATTTTTTAAATTGGGTCATTTGGCTTTGCATTGTTAAATTGTAAGGGTTCTTGATATATTCTGGATACAAGTGTATGGTTGGCAAATATTCTCTTTCATTCTGTGAATTGTCTTTTTACTTTCTTCTTCTTCTTTTTTTTAATGGAGGTCCTGGGATTGAACCCAGGACCTCATGCATGCTAAGCATGTGCTCTACCACAGAGCTATACGCACTCCCCCCCCATCTTTTCACTTCCTTAATAGTGCCCTTTGAAGCACAAAAGTTTTGCACCCCTTTTGGATGAGGTCCAGTTGATCTAATCTTCCTTTGCTTGTGTTCTGGGTGTCATCTCTAAGAAGCTGTTGCCTAATCCAAGGTCACAAAGATTTAGCCCTGTTTTCTTCTAAGATGTTTATAGTTTTAGCTCTTACCTTTAGGCTGACGCACTTTCGAGTTATCTTTTGCATACCATGTGAGGTAGGGGTCCAACTGCATTCTTTTGCATGTAGATATCCAGCACCATATATCAAAAAGACGATCTTCCCTACTGAATTCTCTTGTCACACCTGTCAAAAGTCTATCGGCCACAGATGTAATGGTTTATATCTGTACTCTCTACTCCATTCCTCTGGTGTATATGTCTATCCTTTGGTCTACACCACACTCTCTTGATTACTGTAACTTTGGAGTAAGCCTTGAAACCAGGAAGTGTGACTCTACCAACTTTGTTCTTCTTTCTCAAGGTTTATGTGGCTATTCATATTTCCATATGAATTTCAGAATCAGCTTACTAATTTGTATAAAGAAGCCAGCTAGGATTTTGATAGGGATTTCACTGAATCCATAGATCAATTTGGAGAGTATTGTTACCTTAACAATATTTAAGTCTCTGATCCATGAACCCAGGATGTCTTTCCATTTAAGACTTCTATTTCTCTCAATGATATTTAGTAGTTTTCAGAGTATAAGTCTGGCATTTCTTTCATTAAATTTATTTCTATCCTTTCTGACATTATGATAAATGGAATTATTTCTTAATTTCATTTTCATACTGGTCATAGCTAGTGTAAAGAAAAACAACTGATTTTTGTCTTGATCTAGTACTCTGCAACCTGCAGTTACGTGTTAGTTGTAATGGGTTTGCGTGACCATCTCTGTGTATGAATTCCTTAGAATCTTCTATGTACTTCTTTTCCAATTTGGATGACTTTTATTTTTCTTTCACCATGGTTTCTTAAGTAGTAGATTCTTAAAACATTTTTTTACTTTTATTTTTTGTAACGGAGGTAATGAGGGTTGAACCCAGGACCTCGTGCATGCTAAGCACACACTCTACTACTGAGCTATATACCACTCGGTCTTAAATATTTTTAACCCAAGTTTTAACTGACTGTCTGTGCTGAACGTTCTCTCAAGAGAATCCCTGGCTCCTAGGGCCACCTTCTGGCAAGCTGGCGCTCAAGGATGCTAGCACCTTCCCACTCGAAGGCTAAAGGACTCTGAGGCCAGGGGGTATGTGAGCACCACCCTCCATCCGAGCTCCCATTCCCACCCCTTACCCCAAGCTCAGAATGCCAGGCTTCCGCACCCATTTGGTCACCAATCCTATACATACCACCTTTCACGTGATCCCAGGATAAAGGAGTGAAAGGATACTGGGGTGAAATCACAGGTCCAGGGGAAAAAAAAGCCCATCCAATAGCCAGGGGTAGCAGTGGGGTCAGGGTAGCAGCAGTACCGTGGGAGCCCAGGGGGGCTCCAGGGCTTGTCTGACAACTGAGCTGCCCTATCATCTTCCCCCGTGAGACAGCCTCCCCACCGCAGGTCCCAATGCCCCACCCCACTCCAGCTCCCCCAGGGTGTGGAGGGGTCCAAACTGAAAGGTACCTTATATACACACGTGCGCGGCCACCAAGGCCAGACTGTCCCTGTCGCAAAACCCAAGCCAATGGGGGCGGTCCTGACCCCGCCGGTCAGTCACACGGTGGGCGGCTGCGAGCCGCTTCTCTGGCTGGAGCTGTGCCCGCTCAGGACGAAGGTGGATGAGTTGCTCTTTTTGCTGACGCTCGTCTCTCCGGGCCGGCCACCCTTCAGGCGGCTGGAGGAGCAGCAGAGGAAGCGCTGGACAAGTTCGTGGAAGAGGTGGCCGGTGAAAAGCATGTAGATCCAGGGGTTGCAGCAGCTGTTGAGGCTGGCCAGGAGCATGGCAATGATGAACGCTGAGGCTGCAGGAGGGAGCAGGGAGAACAGGGCATCACTACTGGGGCTTTCAGCCTTGTCTCCTGAGAACAGGTGCCAGGGGATGGGTCGCAAGACGGAGGGCTTAAGAGACGAAGTCTGTCTTCCTTCTTTCCATATGCTTGTGCTGGGGGTGCACTCAGCCAGCCCCCCCAAGCCTTCCCTGGCTCAGCCCAGCCCTGGAACCATCCCTGTCCTTTCTCCATCAGCATGGCCACCTGTGCATTCATTACTCAGCCCGCAAATATCAAGTGCCTCCTACTCAGAGCGTCCAGGGGCACAGAGTCGGAAGCTGCCAGACTTTATATTCCAGCCCTGCCAGCAACAAAGTAATTCCCCAAGAAACTGCTGTTTCCTAGTCTTTAAATGGGGATAACAGGAGTCCACAAAGCTCGTGGGAGGGCTACAAGGGTGAAAGAGCATCTGGTACAGCCGGTGCCCAACACACGAACGCTGCCATCACGACCACGTGCCTGGTGCCGGGCTAGGCGCTGGGACACAAAAGTAAACTGTGCAGCCCCATGAGGTGGGCACGGTATGGGTCAGGTGGGCACACCGAGGTGGGCGAATTCGCTCTGAGAGTAAATCGTGGCTGGCCCCAGAGGCACCAGCATGTGAACTGATATCTGAAGGACGCTCAGGAGCTTCCCAGGCGGAGAGGGGAGGAAGGGCACTCCAGGCAGAAGGAACAGCACAGGCAAAGGCATGGAAGCAAGAAAGCGCGTGCTGTCTTCACAGCCGAGGAAGCGTTTCTGTGAGGACACCCCTAAGAGCACTGCTTCAGCACGACAAATAGGACTTGAACAGGAAAAGAGGGCACTGAAATTCTATGAGGAACTGTGCAGAAGCTGTTACACTGAAGACTTACTGAATTTCAGATCAGATTAATGATCAGAAAGCAACTTCAAGACATTGCTGGTCACAAATTTAAGCTTCAAAGGGGAAGATAAATTCCTGAGAACTTCCAGCTGAGGGGTGGGAATCTGGGTTTCTTTCAATGGCCTTAAATCTGACAAACTGCAGACACCCCCACCGGCAGAGAAGTACAGACACCCCCCCCTAGAAATTCATGAGGAAAACAATGTTCCCAAGAACGCTGTTCACAGACACATCTTTGTGAGTGAAGGCGCTGCCAGAGGCTTGGAAAATCTGATATTTAGTCCTCAACATTTTCTGCAAAAAATTTTCAAGAAATAGCCCCAGAATTCAAGAGCTCGATCCAGGGAAGCATTTCTCACAGGGACACTGGAGTTGCAAGATCTGGATGCCACCACCAATGTAGGCTGAGCACAGAGACATCTGTCAACAAAGTTACCAAGTGCCAAAGTGGGAGGGTGACTGTAAGAGGAATTCAGTGGTTCTCAAAGTGGGTTCCCGGCTCACCTGGGAAGTTGTTAGAAAAGTACAAGCTCAGACCCCACCCTAGATCTACCGAATCAGACTCCAGGGGGTGACGCTCAGTACTGTGTCATAAACAGCCCTCCTCCCCTTTTGACGCAAGTCTGAAACCACTGCTCTAATTACCTGGTGCACCTGTTAGAACAAAAGCAAGCCACAACGCACAAAGCCCCAAGTCTTGCAAAAGAAAACGTTTAGGAAGCAAAGGAGTGGAGTCTAATCCTTAAATTAAACTAGGAAAGAAAAGAAAAGTAGAAAAGTAAAGGGTTGGGGTGGGGAGGGGGAAGCCAGTGCTTTTGAATTCCTCACTTTCTCTAAAAGAGAGTGAAAAAGAGACACTGGATTTGAAGGGGTCAGAAAAAGAGGAATATAAGTTGAGAAATTCTAGTGACATCACCAAGGCTGAAACTAGAATGTCCTCAAAATCGCCATGAAACATACAGAATGAAATAGGCAAAATCAACACATGAACGTCAACATTTAGCAAGGCACTGAGAAGTAAACTGTCAGACACAAGGGATGAACATCCGTGTAGAAAGCTATGAGACGGGTAGAAGGACGTCTCAGGGGCGAAGTCCTCACATGGACTGAGGGGCAGCACGTTTCACCCAGCTGTACAGAATTATATGACATAATCTTAGCTGTTGCAGCTGCTTGCCTCACTCTTGACATTTGGGTATTTTCACTTGTTTATCCTATTTTTAAAAAACAACCTAAAGAAACAATAATCACAAAAAAGCAAACAGTTAAGGAATCCCCAAGTAGCCACGTGGAGTTTTTCTACCTCCAAGTGGATGGGAGGAGCTGGGACCACAGCCAGCATCTCTGCCCCGACCTGGTGGCCACAGACACAAATGACCAGCCTGGCCTGGCTCTCGGGAAAGGATGACCCTCTAAGCTCAACCTGCTCATGTCAAGTTGCCAAATGCTAAAGGCACATTTGGACTTGTTAAAAAGTTGGCAATATCCTAACCAACCAAAGATACGCATCCCCAGCAGTGGTGTTTCAAGCTGTTTGTGAATAAAAAAAAAAAAGGCTATGTAGGAAATTTCCAAGGAAGGAAGCAGCAGGAATAAAGGCATGTGAGTGAGACCATCCAAGCGCATTCGGGAGCTGCCAGGCTTGGGGAGGGAGGGTTCACAGGAGAAGAGACTGGAAAGATCCAAGCGGAGGAGGACCACCTTGAATTCAGGCTGAGCATGAACTTGAATCTACAGGCGATGGGGAGTCACTGGTTTCTGAGCAGGCGAGTTGACTCACTGCACCTCATCTACTTTCTGCGCTTACTGTATCCTGTTTAGGTTACAACACTGCCCTTTCTGGTGGCTAGAAAGGCGTCCTAGGATTGAAGAACAGGAACAAAGCACAGAAAATGCTGTCCTTGGCATTTTGTGATGTTGTTTCCAAGGGAGCACATGACAATGCAGTCAGGCGACCACCGGAATCATGGCTCAAGCTTCCGCAGAACACAACAGTGTTCAAAGCAGCCTCATCCCCATGTTATATATGAGGAAGGTGAAGCTCCGGGAAGGGAAATGACTTCCCCAAGGACACACAGCAAGTCACCCTGTGCTCCTACTTGAAAGTAAATGAAGTCTGAGGCCTTGGAAAGCAAGGTCAGCATTCACACGTCAGGCTGGTTCCGGCTAGTTCCCTAACCGGATTGCTGGGCAATCACCCTCATGGTGTGATTTGAAGGACAGAGTCAGAGAGCAATCCCCCTTTCCCAGAACAGACGTGGGCTCCCTCAGAGGCTAAACACTGCCCAGCTCCCAGTGATGGTCTTTTAAAATCCAGTGAACTTGGGAGGAGAAACACACTGCCTCTTATTGGACCACTATCCTCCCTGGCAGAAATGTCTCCAGGTCTAGACACAGAAGGTGTGGGAGGCAAGCCCCGCCCACTGCTTGTTTTTGTAAATGTTTTATTGAAACACAGCGAAGCCCATTCATTTATATATTGCCAATGGCAGCCTCTGCACTCTGAGGGCAAAGTTGAGTAGTTGTTACAGAGACCTTATATCCCAAAGGCCTAGTATTACTGTTTGGCCTTTTAGAGAAAAAGTTAGCCTGTCCTTATCTAGATGCCTGTGGGAGGAGCAGATATTAAAAAGTAGAGGGGAAGAGCTCAGAAAAGGGAGGGGCAGATCCCCCCAGGCAAGCTCAGCCCACTTTTCCCAAACCATTAGAAGCAGAACTGAGTGATGCCTTTGCTTTTAAAAAGTACCCAGACCTGGCACAAACCCTCGCTCTGTCACCCTTCACCCACGCATTCTAGGGCAAGTCAGCGAGCCTCTCTTAACCTCAGCTTCTCCACCTGCGAGATGAGAATAATACAAAGAACTTCTCTACAGAATCACTGCAAAGTTTAACCAGACAGGATGCCAAGTGCTCGCCCTGATTCCTGGTACTTAATAAAGCTTAGCTACTTTTATCATCACTACAATGATATGTGCGTGCCCAATAAATGTCACTTCTCTTATCAATAAGAGAGTCAGGGCCGACGTGTGGAACAACGGGGAGAGGCTGCTCCCTGAGCTGGGCTGTGTCCTGGCACCCGAGGCAGAGGCCCAGCGTGGGGCATGGGACTCGGCACCACCGTCGGAGCTTCTGGAGGCTGCACTGCCATATGGTGATGTCTGTCCAGTGTGGCTCTTGGGTCAGACTGCATGGCCGAGAAGATCAGCTTATACGTCAATTCTGTGCTAGCTCAAAAGTCCCACCCCCACTCCCTGCCCCACTAGTGTAACCCGCAGAGCTGGTCTGCCCTTCTCAGCTAGCTTCTAATTTCCTGATGGGTTTAAACAGACTGAAACAGTGGGCCATCTTTGGGGAGGACAAGGGCAATGCCCGGGGCCCCACTAGGTCAAAGGTGTGCTGAAGCAATGATGCAGCATTAGACGAGAAGGCTCCTGTCTTCTTCCAGCTGATCCATGAGGATGCTCTTGTCCTGGGAGTATCTGATCTTGCCCTGCAGACCTCAGTGCTAAGATCTGTTTTGCTTACACAGAGCCTGGTCATTCCAGCTGTGAGGAGCTGCAGTCTCTCTATGTCGTAAAATCTCCCTGTCTCCTGCCCACCTGCACTTCAGCTCCAAGTCCTAGGGCCATGCCATCACCTAGTGGTTTTTCTACCCTGAAATCCTTCCTGTGCTGATTGTCTTCTTTCAAAACAGCCACCCAGCAGGTTGCTGCAGTTGGACACTGACTGAAAGGGTGGCTTACAGAGGCTAGACTCAGTGGAGTCCAGCGGGCCGGCAGCGGATGCTGTGGTACCCATGCCCCAGTCCCATATTAGGTGCAGGTGCTCATCCCTGAGTTCCTCCAGAGGATAACACCCTGCTCAGGGCAGTCCACACCCAGTGCACCAAAGCCCACCCCTTCACCTTCATCCCAGGCTCTCTGAAGGGCCAGCCCAGCTCCTAAGTGTCCCATGACACTGGCCCTGGCCACACTTTCCACAAAGCAGAGCAATGATATAGTCAGTGTGGACAAAAGGAGGACCTGGAAGTCACAATCAACAGACTCACCAAAGGAGTGGCAGCCAGCAACTCCTGGGGGGTCAGGCCAGTGGGGAGCCCCTCACAAGG